ACAAAGGGTCCCGATGTTGGATTGGCAAGACAACGTTATTCCCCAAGTGTTCAAACTAGACTGAGGAAACAACGCAGCACGCCGAACCACGTCCGCGCGAGTGGCGCTGCTGTTGCCACCGGAAGTCGGTTATTTCCATATCAGATTCGCCGTTTTAAGAGATCCTCTGAAATAAATGAGGTGTTTTGAGTAAATCTGTTATTTCTGTGGAAATACTATTTAATTGTGTGATAGATGCGAAAGATATGTTTTATTTTATGTAAACGTGTTTCAGCGGTTTTGCGCGCAAGAACTACAGCGGCATCTATAGATGACGCACCGGAAACGATAACGAAACTTGATATTCGATGGAGGGAAAGACTTCCTCCGTTCCAAAATCATCCATGCGTCGCTGAGTCTTATATTTATTTAGATCGATCGGATGAATGTTACGGGGTACCGTAACACGGGTTATGAAGGGAATTCGATTAAGTTAATTATGAAATTAATATTCAGTATTTAATATGAGCCTCGATGAGTATAAATAATTGATATAACCTCGGATGTTTTGGTCGTCGCAGGAATATTGATATTGCGCGATATAATCAATAATTTCACAGGCACAGGTCAAGTATTTATTTATTCTATATTCTTAAATTATATCCATTTTGCAACGTGCACCGTTGCCACTGTCCAATGACCACGGCGTGCACGCGTCTGAATTTTATTACAAAATAAGAACATATAAAAATTGGGAATCTGCTCTTAATTTCAGGATAGGTATCGTCATTGTTACTCGTAACACCTAAGAAAGAAAACGTTAAATGAATTAGTAACGGGCCGAACGTGTTCGCGTTCACGGTAGGAATGTAACCGAGCGTGCAGATATAAATATAGCTCTCGAGAACAACGTCTCACGTGGGGAATGCGTGTCGAGCGTCGAGAGTCTGGGTGTTGGTGTATACCTGGAGGATTTCGAACTGCCCTTCGATGGATTAACACAATGGGCACCCCTCGTAGAATTTAGCGAAGCCGTCTGGCCTCCCTTTCCGACTCCAGCAGGGTCAGAATGTCCCCTTCCCGTACAGGACCCTTCACGTTTCGAATTAGCTGTCTGTTCTGTTCATTCAAAAACTCCACCTTGACCTGGGTGCATTGCCCTTGGGAACCAGTTCTGCCGAGGACCTTTACCACCCTTGCACGCACTATAGGCTTTTCCATTTCTTCCGATTCCTCGCCGCCTTTATGTACGTTCCACTGTCGCACGAACGATCAACGGCACATCCGACGAATTCGACGAAGCGCACAGGATACACTTGCCAACTTAGTTGGAAAATATGTCATAAGGTTCGACGGGGACGCGTTTGAAATTCCGTCGGAAATCGGGGCGCGCGAGACGAGCTTCTTCCGGTAAAATTACAGAAGCGAGAGCTTATCGCGTCGGGGATAATCGCGTTCGGCGGACTTTTCGTATTTCGTCTAAGGGAAATTTGAAAAATCGACAAACCTTGCTTTGGCAGCATTGGCGATAGCGAGCTTAAAATAACTTGTTCGACGCTGCATTGGTTGCCGGGAGCCCACGTGCTTTGTGACGAATCCTCGGCTGAAAGTTTAAACGTCGTATGTGCACGCGCGGCGCGCGCGATTCCGTCGGGCCGGATTGTTATTCGAGAAACGACGAGTCACGGTTACGAATTAAATTGTTTACAGCGGTATGTGTCCGATCGATCGAAACCATTGGCGTACGCATTATAGGTACAGATGTTTATTCATTTGTGCTTTAGTATAAACGTGACACCTCTCGCTTGGAACACGGAACATTGTAGCTGACAATTCTCTCGTTTTTCGCGAGGATCTGCGATAACTTCTTCCCCGCGTGAGGTTCCCTCGTTCCCGTGCTCTCCGGCTTTTATACATACTCCGATGTTCGCACACACATGCGCACAGCCTCTCACACGTATACTCCTTTGTTCATATAAAATTACAATACTTGAAAAAAGTGTCATGTACCGTACGCGACATATGACTGAACAATATACGCACATTGTACACACATATATCGACGCGAGGCGTTGTTTTGCGTGTCGTGTGTCTGTTTCTGTGTACATGTGTGTCTCTCCGTGTATATGTGTGTGTGTCGCTAAAAGCGGAAATCCATGAATCAATTCTCCTACTTGAATTTCAATTCTTTCGCAGCGATTTCGAACGTTCTGCTCGCAAGACAGTATTTTTTTCTTTTTTCTATGTAATTGAAAGTTTGCTGGTTCGTTAGCACAGTCTCAGCTCTCGCGAGCCTTGAACACTGGTTCGCGCGCGATCGAATCTGATGGCTCGCTGCTTTCACGTATCGCCGATAATTTAATTCCCGGCCGCGGACGCGGCGGGCGGCGCGTCGCCGCAAAGACAAACCGAGGATTC